CCAGTCGGCGCGGACACATTTAAGTTGAGGCGGGGGTCTACGCGGCAGCTCGGCATGCGCCGCGGAACGCGCTGGCAGCGCACGTCGGGGCCCAGTGCTTCCAGGAATCGCGAGCAGTCGGCGCGCCCGCGCGCATTTAAACGCGTCAGCGCGGAGTCGCTGCAGCCCCCCGCGCCGGCACATGCAATCGTGCATTGATGTCCGTGGCGCGCAGAGTCCGTGCCGCGTCGTCAGATGCGCGCGCATCTCGCAGTCGCCGCCAGCTGTCAACTCTAGCTTGCGGGCATGCTGGGTCCAGGAGGCAGCGCGTCACGCGCGCGCGTGCATCCCGCGCCAGAGCGCACCGAGCCGACCGCCTGACACTGGACCCACTACGCTGCGCATTGGCCGCAAAGCTGGCAGCGGGCAACACAGCGCACCACCTTGCAAAGACGCCCCGCAACCGCGGGCGCCCCAAAGGCGCGGGCAAAATCCCCATTCCACGCCGTCGCGTCGTTGTGCTCACAGCCAAGTCATGCGGCACACTCTCTGGGCTTGCTACACAGGCGCCCAGCGCAGTGTCGCAGGATCAGGCAGGACGAGTGTCATGCGCCGACCCGCCATCACCCCCGACGTTGCTCAATTGCTACACCTAGAAGCACCAACAGACGACGACACCCCACCATCCGACCCACCCCGAGAGCAGGAACGGCACCCAGCTCGGATGTTTCGGATTGCGTGCTGCACGGGCATTCTTGCAACGCACCCGCCTACGGCCATGCGACGCACCGAGTATTCCACGGTAAGCTTGCGTTGCGGCAGTCGCCGACACGGCGACATCCAGGCATGCGATGGGTCGCGCATGGCCGGGCAGATTTCGCCACTTTCGTTTTGTCGATCGGAATTGTGTCTGGCCCTGCACAAGGCAACGCGACGCGCCGCAGCGCCCTCGACATCTGGAAGGAACGCGCGCGAGCTCGACGAGTGGCCCTGTCTGGTAGCCCTCCCCGTGCGAGACGCGGGCTCCTTGCGATGAGCAGCAGACAGCGGCCCGCCGCCGCCGCGTCGACCCCGCGACGGGTTCTGGGGGGGGCGAGCAGCTACTCCGCGCCAAATAGTTCAGATGCGCGTCGGCAACGAGCTCAGCGGGGCAATGGCCGAGCTCGCTGGGGCCCACTTAGCCGTTGGAACCGATCAGGTTTAACCTGGCGCTGGATGGGTCATCCCTTTCCAGCCAGCCTAAGGTTTGCAGCCGTCAGTTCCTTCGCGCGCGAAAGATTCGGGGCCGCTGGGGCCTTGCCTACCGCGTCGGCGCCCGACGTCGACCAGCGCGGACGTGGACGGGCAGCGCGGCCACCGACGCGCATGCTGGCATTCGCATTGGGTACGCTGCGCGACGGGCTCATGGCACTGTAGGGCATGGCCGTATATTTGTACCAGACAATCCGGCCTTGCGCGGCGAGCTTGCTGCCGGCGCGACGGGCGCGGCTTCTCGCGCGCAGGCGCCCCGCGCGTCGTCCGAGCCGCTTTTGGACGCGCGCGAGAAGAGGCACTGGTCTTCGACAGTCTCTTGTTGCTGCTGATGTGGATCGGCCCCCCCCGCTGGGAAGTCGCGAAAAATTCGGCCCGGGACTTTGCGTCGCGCCGCCGGCCCCAGTCGAACCCCCCCCCGCCTGCGTCGTTTCAGATCTGCCTGCCACCCCGAGGCCTGGCGGCCCCCCAGAGGCAGACGAGGAGCAAGAGTTCGCGTGCGCCCCTGACTTCTCCCCGCGTCTTCTCCAGCCACCCCCTGCTGTCCCTGCCCCTCTCGCAGGCGAGCTCTGCTTTCGCGGTAAACGCGATCGCGCGCGAGCGCGAAACACTTGCGCGTGAAGGAGCACAGCGCGCGCGCGCAATCGCTCCGTGGACTCGAAGCCCCCGCTTCGGAGTCGGCCCGCATGATCGAGCATCGCAGGCGCGCGCGCGCCGCTGCCGGCGCGGGCCATTCACGTAGCGCCCATTCAAAATAGCACGGCGTTTGACGGTGGCCAGCGCGCGACAGACACGCGTCGATGCAGGCCGCGCAATGCATGACTGAGGAGATGCGGGTGTCGCATCACCGCAGGACTCGCGACTGGTCTTAGTCCAGCGTGAGATCTGAGGAGTCGTTCATCAGAGGGTGGTGCCGCACCAGGCTCCTTGTGGCATTTTGCCAGCCCTGCGAAGCTGCGCGCGTGCCCGCCCGTCGTGGAGCGAGCACCGCTCAACCCGCGGTTGCTTTCAGCCCGCCGCCGATCATTGCGACGGGCCCCGCAGGCTTGCATTAAGGCGTCAGATTCAAGAAAGAGCTCTCTCTCTCTCTCTCTCTCTCTGCTGCCTCCCTCACGCCCGCCCATGCTCTTCTGGTCGCCCCGCCCTGCTGTTCAGCGGCCGCGCCGCCTCCCTTCCTTGGTGGGGAACGGACGGAGGTTCACCGGCCGATCTATCTGATCGTTTGGTTTCGGATAGCGAAGTATCAGAGACCCGAACCATCAGGAGTAACTCGGATCAGGGCTAACTCGGGTTCGTTTTTTCGGGGATCCGAACCCGAGTTGCCCCGGGCCCGAGTTACCCCGGATACCCCGGGCGCCCAGAGCCCCGAATCATCAGGGGTAACTCGGGTCAGGGCTAACTCGGGTTCGGTTTTTCGGAAACCCAAGCCCGAGTTACCCCGGGCCCGAGTTACCCCAGATAACTCGGGCGCCCAAAAGTAGGGCAGGGCACGGGGCCGGCGCGAGCCCAGCCGCGGTCCAGGGCGCACCGAGGAGCACCGCCCGCGCGGGGGGACCTTTGTGGGCCCCGCCCCGCCGCGTGTCCTGCGAGCAAGACGCACGCCGTGACTCCGCCCGCGGCATGCTTTTTGCGTTGGTTTCTTGTGTCTTCCATCAAGCGCACAGGACGTCGAGGATGCCGTTTCGGCTGCACGACAAGAGGATTTATATTATATATAGTGCTTGAACACATTTGCCCTTCCAATGTCATAGTGCGCAGATTGGGTGTTCTCCGCCGCCGCCTGGTCAGCGTTCCACTTCGGGGACGATGATCATTCCGCCTCATCGGGTCATTTGTCTAGCGAGCGTGGTCCCCTACTATGATCTGGCAAGGGACTCTTGCCAGTGTCAGACCAAAACCGCCCGTGATGCTGTCTCCGCAGTGTATTCTCGCCCTGTTTTGATGTGTTTGCTGTCACACTGCACTGTAGTTGCCGACCTGGCGCCAGCGCGCAGTATTCAATATTCCGCCAGCTGCAGCGCCGCGTTTTGCTGACAAGCCATCGTCTCCACTAGCGTCGCAACCAAGAACAACCTTACTCTCTTTACCTTTCTGTCATGCATTCGTTCGCTGTTGGTCTTCTCCCAGCCCCCACCCCGTCCCTCTCCAGAACGTTCGCGCACATTGCAATCATAATTTGGGCACCCAGGGGCGCGTGGGCACGACCGAGCGTCATCAGCCAGCGTCGGGCAGACCGACCTCCCCGTCGGTCGGTGTTCTGGCCGATGGTCAACCGATGGTTATCGGTTTGGTGTCCAGGTCGATCCGAGTCGGCTTATCCATTCGATGCCAGGGCCGCCTTCTCAGGAAGGGAAAGGTGGGAAGAGGAGGTGGGGGCGACGGGTGAGGAGGAGGCGACTTTCCCTTTATTCTAGTTATTGTCCTTCCCCATCATGATGTTGTTTCCCCCCCGACCTACTTACCTGCTTGTTTGATTCTTGTTTCTCGTGCGCACACGTATGTACATACATCCATGCATGCATTAAAACATATGTACGTACGTGCATGCATGCATGCAGACACATACACCTACAACTACACGTACATCTACACCTGTGCATCCACATACAAGTTCACATACACATACATACATGCATGCAAACATGCATGCATGCATACATATATACATACATGCATGAATACATACACACATGCATACATACACGCATACAGACATGCAGACATACACGCATACATGCATGCATGCATACATGCATACACATAAACATGCACACTCATACATTCCTACACACATACGTACGTACGTACGTACGTACATGCATCCATACATACACACATCGATACATACATACATGCATGCATGCATGCATGCATGCAACCATACTCATATGTACATACATACATACATACATGCATGCATGCATGCATGCATACATACATACATACATACATACACACATACATACACACATACAAACGTACGTACAAACATACATACATGCATACATACGTACACACATACATGCATACATACATGATTGCATCATGCATGCATGCATACATTCATACATGCATACATACGTGCATATGTGCATGCATGAATACACACATACATACACACGTACATACATACATACATACATACATACATACATACATACAGACAGACAGACAGACAGACAGACAGACAGACAGACAGACTTGCGTATGTACGTACGCACATACGTACGTATATACGTACGTGTAAAACTACACAACATGCATTAGCGAGCGTGGACCCCAAACGGCAACGTACTGCGCGTCGTGGATGTCGAAGCTATGCGGCGGAAGCCATGCAGTGCAAGCGACGATGTGCAGCCGACGTGGTGCAGGCCAGAGGCGGCCACGGGAGGCCACGCGGCGAAACTTCGCGCGACTCACCCGGCGCACAATAGCGGCCACGAGGCAGCCGCGGGCGGCAGCGCGGCGAGACCTCTTGCCGGCCCCACCCGGCGCACGAGAGGCAGCCACGGGGCGGACACGGACGGCAACGTGGCGACGCCTCGCCAGAGCCGTCCAGCTCGTGAGGGACAAAGGTAAGAATTCTGAAGTGCGAGCACCTTCTGCGGAATATGCGTATATATCTACACACACATGTACATATGTACATATGTGTGTATGTATATGCATTTATGTATATAGATATGTATGTATGTATATATATACATATACATATATATATATATGTAGATATATACACACGCAACAAAACCTGCCTCCCCGTCTCGCAGGTCGTCCGCGCTGGCGCGGAGCTGGACCTCATCCGCGCGAACCACTTCCCGCCCTGGCCGGCGACGCTGCTGCGGCCGCGGCGCGCGTCGGCAGAGCCCGGCGACACCATGACGTTCCAGTTTCGGCGCGGGTCGGCTCGGCCGGCGGAGCGCCCGGGCCTTCACCGCCCCGCAAACGCTGCCCCTGCGGGTCCAGTGAGTATTGGGGTAGGGCGTCGGGTCGGGGAATCGTAAGACTCGAGTTCGAAGGATCTCGGGCTGACCGACGCTGTTGGACGGGCCCGCCCAGAATCTTCACGGTCCAGCTGTCGTGGGATGTTTGCAGCGGGAGTTCGCGTCAAATTTCCGTTCGGAGCTCATCGTTTTCTTGACGGCCCCGTCAGGCCAGCCCGAGTCCGCCGAACCCGAGTCGTCCGTCTCGGATCGGACAGCCCATTTGGGGCCCATGTGGCTGCAGACATCCCTCGGATTCCTATACGGCGCCCAAACATATACACCACTACCACCTCTCTGATCCCCTCTCCCCCAGGAAGGAGGGAAGAACTAGGAGGTCAGAGGAAGGAGGAGGAATCGACGTGGTGGTGGTGGTGTATGCACTCGTGGGGCCCGCGTCTAAGCCCCACCCAGCGGCAATGTCAGCTTGTGATTCGCAAATGGCCAGACCCCCCCCGGGGCTGATGAATAGGCCCCGCGGGGCGCGATCTTTTTTTGAATCGCGCGCGCCAGGGGGGAGGAGGAGAGAGGAGGGGGAGGAAGGAAAAGGAGGAAAAGGAGGACGAGGAAGAGGAGGAGGAGAGGGAGGAGGAGGAGGAGGAGGAGGAGGAGGAGGAGGAGGCAGGGCGCAGGCATGGCGGAGGACGGCGGCGACGACGGCGACTGTGTGGGGGGAGGAGGAGTACCCGCCTTGCTTGGGTCGGACGAACAGGATGGGAAGGAAAAGGGGGGCTGCGAAGCCTGCTGCGCGCAGCTGGTCTCGGTCGCCCCACCGAAGGGCCAGTCCTCGACGCATGGCCGCTTCTGGCGCCAGGGGGCGTTTGGAAAATCGGCGATGTGACCTGCTTGGCAACCCCTCTTTTGTTGCGCCTCACTTTCGTCCAACCCGCCTTGCCCGCAGGCCCGCATCGGTTCGACGGAAAGAGGGGCGCCCTGGTTCGCCCTTGCCTCCAACCCCGCCCCCCTTGCCCCTCGTTGACGGCCGGGCGTCGGCGCTAATCACCGGCGCCGCCCCGTTGATTTCCAATCTGGCAGGCGCCACCCCGCGATTCGCCCGAGCAGGGGAACTATTTTTCAAAACGCGCGCCCCCCACGGATTTGTGAGCCACACGGTGACATTACAGGAGTCTGGCCTGCAGGGTGCAGGGCTCAAGCGTGGATATTTAGCGTCAAGTCGGGCCTGCCCATCTGCAGGAGGAATATTCAAAAACATGTAAAACAAAGCAGTCGGGGGATCATTTTTGGAGTATGCTAGATCATTTGGAGGGCATTTCATTGATTATATATATATATGTATATATATATATATGTATATATATATATATATATATATATATATATATATATATATATATGTTTGGCCCCAAGATCCCCCTGTAGGGGGACATGCCCGGCCTGAGCCTAGCGCGGGGGGGGAAGAATCAGCGAGCGAAGAACGGTATAACATAAATTTTCGCTGTCTGGGGCGCCTGTCCCTGGGCGGCTGGAAAGTTTATACCCCTACGGTGCCACCGTAAGGGCATAAACTTTCCAGCCGCCCTGGGACAGGCGCCCCCGACAGCGAAAAAAATTATTTTACACCGTTTTTCGCCCGTTAAGAGAATGGGGCGGCACGGCACGGCGCCGCGCCGCACGAGCCGCGCGGCACGCCCCCCCCCCCCCCCCGCGAGGAGCTCCCGGACCCGCCCGAGGCCGACCGCGCGAGCGCGGACGCGGGGTTGCTGTCCGCGACGTGGCGGAGCTCGTCCCCCATTCGGCGGCGCGCCCGCGGGGGAAGCGAGAACTTGGCATCGCTCGGACGTGTGCATTTTTCCTCCGGCGAGGACCATCGAGGAGCATCCTTGATCATTTGGCGGAAAAACCACGCACGAAACCGGAAAAAAAAACACGGAATGGACGTCCGAGCGATGGCCAGAGAAGGAACCGCCCCTCCGAGGGGGCGGTGGGGCTTCTCTCGGAGGTGGGTAGACCCCCGACCCTGACGCGTCGATTCGCGAAGGGACAGACCCTCCTCTGCACGCACGAAATTGGTACGGAAAGAGTGGGCACAATGCCCAACATCGGGAGCGGAAAAGACGGGGGTGAAGGATTGGGGGGGGGTGGATTTCATGGCGCGGGCCATGATTTTTCCTCAGATTTCATGGCGCCTCTTCTTATGTCATTACGTCCCAGGCCCCCCCGCTGGGCCGCGCACGTGCCGCCGGTCATGATTTGCACCCCCCTTCTTGGACACCCCCCTCTTGGCCGCTCCCGACAACAGCGGATTTTTTCATTTTGAACAGGGTTCGATGTCCACGCCGCCGCGGCCTGTGTCCGATTGAGACAGGAGGCCGCCTGCCAACCAGCGGCCGCTGTTGGCTTGGGACAACATTTGTTGTCGGGCATTGTGCCCATTTTTACGTAACAGCGAAGGCTGATAGGTTTCTAGTGGGGTCAAAAGAGAGAATCTTGACTCCCCAGGGGGGTCTGGGCAGGATCCGGGGGATGCCGGGGAAAACCGGGGACTCCCCATTTTCACTGCCATGAGCCACATTCTGACTGCCCGGAGCCAACAGAACATCACTCCCAGGCCACATTTTGAATGCCCGGAGCCAATTGTAGGCCACTTCGTGTTCTTCGTGTTCCCAGAACACCATTCTTGTACCATATTTTGATTGCCCGGAGCCAACTGTGGGCCACTTCGTGATCTTCGTGTTCCCAGAACACCAGTCCTGTGCCATATGTTGAATGCCCGAGCTGAGGCAGGCTGAGGCCGAGGCAGGCTGAGGCCGAGGCAGGCTGAGGCTGAAGCTGAGGCACGCCGAGGCAGGCTGAGGCTGAGGCTGAGGCAGGCTGAGGCTGAGGCTGACGCAGGCTGAGGCAGGCTGAGGCAGGCTGATGCTGAGGCAGGCTGAGGCTGAGGCTGAGGCTGATGCAGGCTGAGGCTGAGGCAGGCTGAGGCTGAGGCGAGGCTGAGGCAGGCTGAGGCTGAGGCTGAGGCTGAGGCTGAGGCTGAGGCTGAGGCTGCAGGCTGAGGCTGCAGGCTGAGGCTGAGGCTGAGGCAGGCTGAGGCTGAGGCAGGCTGAGGCTGAGGCCGAGGCAGGCTCAGGCCGAGACAGGCTGAGGCTGAGACTGAGGCTGAGGCTGAGGATGAGGCCGAGGCAGGCCGAAGCTGAGACAAGGTGAGGCTGAATGGGGGGGGGGGAAGGGGGGGGGGAGGAGGGGAGGCTGAGGCAGGCTGAGGCCGAGGCAGGCTGAGGCCGAGGCAGGCTGAGGCTGAGGCTGAGGCAAGCCGAGGCAGGCTGAGGCTGAGGCTGAGGCTGAGGCTGAGGCTGAGGCTGAGGCTGAGGCTGAGGCAGGCTGAGGCTGAGGCTGACGCAGGCTGAGGCCGAGGCAGGCTGAGGCTGAGGCTGAGGCAGGCTGAGGCTGAGGCCGAGGCAGGCTGAGGCTGAGACTGAGGCAAGCCGAGGCAGGCTGAGGCTGAGGCTGAAACTTAGGCAGGTTGAGGCATCCGTAGGAATCCATAGGAATCCTTAGGAATCCCTAGGAATTCGTAGGAATCCGTAGGCATCCTTGGGAATCCGTAGGCATAGTTAAGCATCCTCAGGAATCCTTAGGAATCCTTAGGATTCCATTGGATCCTAAGGCCGTTGCCACTGCGACTGTCATTGCGAATGCGACTGCGACTGCAAGAACAGCAGAATTCTACAACTGGATTCTCACCTGAATCTTAAGGGGAATGCTTCCAGATATGCTTATACACATCGCTGTTAGGTTGCTTTGCCGGGAAGGAACAGACCCTCCCAAGGGGCGACGGGGCTTCTCTCGGAGGTTGACAGACCTCCTACCCTGACGCGTCGATCAGCGAGTTGGCCGTTTTGGGTTCGCGGGAGAGCGTCGGGGCCGCCATTTTTGCGGGTCCAGGTCCGTCGGTTTCGGCCCTAGGTCGTTTTCACTAAAGGGTGGTTTGCTAAAGGGAGGTTTGTCCACCGCCGATTCTCAGAAGCCCGCGCGCCTTCTGAGGAGGTTTTGTTATGCAGCTTGGGAGAAGGCCCAGCGCGCCTCTCAGGAGGGCCCCCCCTCTCGATTCCCCGCCGGGCTCGCCTCCGATCCGTGTCGTTTCGGCCGGGCTCCAAGGATCCAGGCCGCCCTGAAGGGATCAGAATAGATGGGGCCGGAGATTCGCGCCTCATCGCCGGTGCATTGGCGATGCGGTTGGATGTGGAGCCCGGTTTTCTCCACGCCGACGTCGCCGAGGCACCGGCGTTGCGGCGCGATCTTGCGGCCCGATCTACGCGGACCCCGTTTGGGAGGCCTGCGAAGGAGGGATCCCGCAGCGCGACGGCCTCATTCTGAGGTTGCCAGAGGTGACCAACAACAACAACGAACAGCAAAAAGGGAAGGGTGTCCTGTGTTCGTTCGCCGTTTCAGGCCCCTCCCTGCTTCTCCCTGAGACCTGGGGCCGTCAAAAGACGACCTCAGGCCGCACGGCAGCAGAGGTGACTTCGGCCCAACAGAACCCCAGTACGTAGCCTCCAGAGCACCCTTCGCGGGCCCCAGGGGGCCTTAGGAAGCTCGAGACCCCGAGACAGAGCGAGCGACAAGCCGGGGGCACCTGGGGCCAGGATCGCTGCTTTAATTCACCACCCACCAAACCTCCCCAACCCAACCCGAAGGCCTCAATTTGCCCTCCATCTCCAGTGGGGGAGGGTCCGGGAACATCGAAAGAACACACATGGAGCCCATACCCCCCCCAACCCGAGATTCGGGTCTTCGGGTTGGGTTGGGGTGGTCTGGTAGGTAGTCAC